AAAAATCATGTATGTTTGTGAGATGTTTATTTTTCGTCCTTTCCCTTTCTTTCTACTTAAACTCTTGCACTTATTTTGTTAATCATGTAAAAATTCGGGTAACCGACCGAATAATTCGGTTCGGTTAATTTTCGGTTTTGAGCATACATTTCGGTCGGTTCGGTTTTTGACTTATATCATTTCGGTTAATTCGGTTTTCGTTGTTCGTTCGGTCGATCGACCGAACCGACCGATGAATACCCCTAAACCCAACGCAATGGTACACAATAAATAGTTAATGGCACATCATGTATATAATGTTATTACCATACCATACAATACAAGTGCTATTTACAATAATGTATTGAAAAAACTCCAAAAGATTAAGAAGGAATTGATAAAAAAATTCTTCGTTTGGATTTATGCATACGTAATAAATTAACTGATAAATATAGATAATTGGTATCAAATTTGAAAAATATCAACAACTAATACAATATTATAATCTATGTATATATAATTGCTGGCAAGCTTCAATAAATTTTATTTAGCCAACAATTAATAATAATATGAGTTCATTTAATAAAAATAGGTATTCATTTAATAAAAATATATTCATCATTTAACAATAATATGTAACTTTCAGTTACACAATTTATTCTGACAAGTCTCATTTTGGATGGTGCCCATTTGTGTAATTCCTTTTTTATGTCATAAATAAATAAATAAAATTTATTTTTATTTTGATACTATATATTTTTTGGTATTATATAAATACATATTTCACAACTAATTAAGAATGACTACAAATATCTATATTTTCTATTGCAGTCCTAAAATAATAAAAAAAAAATATTTTTTCGGATATTACAAAAATACATCAAATATTTTAAAAAATCAAATCCCAGAGTCACGAGTCGAAGAGGTTTAATTTGTTGTGATGGAGTTTCCAACGATAGAAAAACCACGAATGTTGTATATAATAATATTTAGATTTACTTTTTTTTAATCTTTTTTTCTTATTTATTAAGTTATGAATTTTATTTTATTTTATATTTTTAAATATACTTCTATTATATCGATTTTCGTGCAAATACACTGGTAAACTAGTTTATATTACCACCCCAACCATATTTAGTTAGTATAACTTAGTATGCGTTTGAAGGTCATTTACTAAAAAAAATATTAACAATTGATCAAAAAAATTAATTTAGGAAAAGTGAATGTTATTAAAAATTACATTTTTTAATATTGGGAAGTTCAATTATAATTGTGGTCCGAAATATTATTAAATATTTTATTTTGACTTAAAAATTATTTTTTAAAATTTACATATTAAGTGAGCAATCATTTCTCTTTTTTTTTTTTGGTACTAGAAAGGAAGCGATACGTCTACCGCTTGTTCACGACCCGGCGAGGATGGGCGACCCCCGCAGAATCATGAAGCAACCATAGGCCCGCCCCATCTGGAGGACGATCAAACCGTTGCACACCACCCGCTCCCTGAGCCGCCAGAGATGCCAAAAAGTCAGCCACGAAGTTGGTCTCACGATACCCATGGACAAGCTCTAGCTCCCAAGCTCGACCCATTAATTCTTGAATGCCCCTAACAAGGCTACTATGCGGTTCATCCGGTTCCTCCCGACCAACCATAGTTATAATAACCTGGTTATCCACTTTTGCGATAATCTTTCGGGCACCAACCTCCCACGCCAAGCTCAGGCCCTGAAACAAACCCAAAGCTCGGCGCACACAATCGAACAGTAGCCAATATTCATCGTAAAGCCCGTGACCCAACGTCCTCTGACCAAACTATATTTACATAACACATATACAAGGAATAAATTCTCGGACCACTTATTTCCAACGGCATTCGAACCCGCCGCCCGCGCCTGCCGCTCGCCGCCTGCCACCACCGCAACCATGAAATTAGCAGCGGCTGCAAGTAGAGCCTTCTTCAATCGGAAAAAGCCGTACCTCACTTTTACATATCCTTCACTATCGACCAGACGATTCGAGACCTCTACAGCAACTGCCACCACGAATAGCAGCGCCGCCCTAACCGAAGAAGAATTGGTACAGATAAACGCCGTCGTCCCTCGACTCTGCTCCTCCAACCACCTTAAAGAGGCTGTCCAGCTCGTCGCCGCCGCTCTCTCCACCGAGAATCCGCCTCTCAGTTCACTTCCGCTTTCGATTCTCGTCAGCCGGCTCGCCCTCGAGCCCGATCTCGCCCACCCCATGCATTTGCTCAATTCCCTCAAATACAATTCCCGTACGGAGAAAACCCTAATTATAGTACCAATTGCCAAAATGTTCGTCTCCACTTTTTTCCAGCACGCCCAGCCGGAGAGAGCTGTAAAGATTTTCCAGTGGATTTCAAGGCCTGATTTTCCCGGTGGATTGCCCGGCGACCTGGAGTTTTATGCTGTTCTGGTTGATGGGTTTTGCAAGCGTGGGATGAGTTTGGATAGTCTTCGTGTTTTGCGGGTTATGGCGGGTGGGGATTTGATGATAGGGAGAGAGATCAGAATGTCGGTGTATAGGGGTTTGTTGAGGGAGGCAAGGGTTAATGAAGCTTTGGACCTTAATGCGGCATTGGATTGTGTTACCTTGGGCTGGAAGGAAGTGGCTGAATTGTTGGACAAGATGATTTCGAATTGGGTCGATTAGAAGAACAGGTAGACTTCATTCATTCAGTACTTTGCATTATTCATTTTTTCATTTCAACTTGTTCAGTTCACAAGAAAAAGAATAATTGTGTAATTTTATCCAAGTCAATAATGCTTGCGTTCGACAACAAACTATTGATCGGAAAACCTAGAATTAGTCTTTGGTAGAAAGGGGTTTGGTTTGCTGTTCCATTGCTTATCCTCCTTGTTTTAGATGGTCGAGCGGATTTCATGTGTGAGCAAATTCGAGTAGTCAGCAGTCCTCAAATATCTCTTTGAGTGAGTTATGCCTTGTAATAAGTGCTATTGTGGATTGACCGATTGAGAGCATGTAGTGACTCATAGAGGAAGAATGACCATGGGTCTTTTATGCTTGGATGTTTGCTTTCAAGTTGTTATGTCGTGTTTGGATGCAAGCATTGTTTAGTCAAGGAAGAGTTTGATAAGTAATAATAGTGGCAATATTTGTTGAGGATTTTTGCGAATAGCTCTCGGCAGTATAATTTGTTGTCATGAGCTGCTTTTACTCATTACATCTGTCAATAATGCTGCTGCCTATAAAGAAAAAAAGAGGTGGGCTGGTGAATACAAATGAAAACGGCTGTACAATTCAGCTTTGGGGTTTTACTAATGTTATGAGTAAAAGTTGAAGAAGCTTGTATCTGTTGTTCGACTAAGCAGACAAGAACAGTGAAGATAGTATAAAAACAAAAGAAACACCTAGTTCAGCCATTTTCCTTGTTTTGTTTCACATCCTAATATACATTTTGACTGATGTTGAATATGAATCAACACAGGTATTTTTGGATTAATCAGCCTTTCTCGGGGTTGTGGAGGCTACAAGTTCAGGTTCGTTGTGTTCGAGCCGGGCAGAGAATGGTAATAGGGGCTGGAGGAAAACTTCGACACCAGCATCTAGCTAGGAGTGTTCAGAAATTAAGGGCCCAAAAGAAACGACATCTCGTATGATTTTATTGAGCTTTTTTTTATCTGACTTTATGCGCCGACTCCACCATTGATAGTCATTGAAGAAGCAAACAGTTGTTTTAACAGATGTGTGCCTGTTGAATAGAAATTCTGTTGATGTTAGAAGAAGAGAACGTACAATGTATGAAGAGTTTCAGGTCTTGCAATGTTGACGATATGATGTGATCCAGATGAATAAGGTTTGGTTTAATACGTTTTGACATTTATGCTGTGTCGTTGTCGATGATGCTGTTTGGCTATTGCAGCTGCCTTGAACAATGTGGTTATGCATGTTTGGCTGCAATAAATTAGTTTTTAATTAACTGTCTCAATTTAATCATAGGTTTACTGCAAACTAAATCTATAATAATGCTGACTATAATAAAAATTGAAGTTTTTAAAAGATAGATTCTCAAAGAAAAAAGTAGGAAAATGAAAAAGAGAAAAACGAGAAGATATCTTTTGCTAAAATTATTATTTACTACAAGTGCAGTTTTCTTAAAACATTTATTTATTATTTAAAAGTCTTCTTCTGGTCGAGGCAACCATTTATAATAGATATCCTAACGGTTAGGCATATTTACTTTATCATATTTTTAACCTACTGCATATCAATATGTGAGATGATATACTTTTATTCACGCAATACTTAAAGAATGACATTTGTGTAAAAGTTTAGTATATGTACTCCCTCTTTTTTTTTTATACATGTCGTTGTAGGATGTCAAATTTTTTTCAAATTAGTTGTCGTCAGGAATGTTTATTCATTCTTTCAAATTTTAACAGAATCACCTAAAATCGTAATTAGAAGTTCTAAATTAAATCGACATCTAAAAAGAAATAGAGAGAGTATTTGTCTTAACAAATACATATACCTAATAATTAGATCAACCTAAAAAATATTTCTACTATTAAAATATACGTTGCAACATTGAGAATTTATTTTTGTTCGCCCTGAACTTTTTTTTTTTTCTCAAAACGGCCGAATTCATAACTCCAAAGCAAATACTGTACACAATATACAACTCGAGCTACCTGAAGGTAGGAAAATAAAAATAAACAATAGCAGTAAGCAATCAAGAATCGACATAGACTGAAGCTATAACAACCAGAAAAAGACTATTGTTGTAGCTGCAACCGCACCAACAAGAACCACTAGCACGAAGCAAAAGATAAACCTGCCATTGATAACTGAACCTAGCAGATTTACCAATACAACAACTGAAACCAAAGACGAAGAAGTCGAACACCAAAGCCAAAACCCCTACATAGAAACACACCAAAACAAAGAAGAATTGCAAAAAGCTAACAACAAGAGAACTTCAACCAAGAAGAGGAAGCAACCTGAACAATGGAAAATTCAGAATGCAAAAATTTTTAGAAAACTCATAGATTCTTGGCCTTCCACAACCACCAGAGCAAATAGGCTGTCAATTGAATTCTATTCTCAGAGGCTGGACATGTCTTCAGGTTACTGAGCTTGACCCACCAGTGCTTAAAGTAAGATGATTCCCCCGACCATCCTAAGAAATAGCTGCAATATCCCAGCCCTTTTTTAGCTTTACTGCGGTGAAATAGGAGGTGCTCCAAGGTTTCCACATCATCACCACGTCTCACAGATAGAATCAATAGACCTCAACCTCTTGATGAGTTTTTGGTTTACAAGAAGAATGTTATTGAAACATTTCCAAACAAAATGCTTTAACTTGCCTGCACCCTTGAAGGACCAAATCCTTTTCCTAGCAAACTTAACACCATCGACCAATTTACTACATTCAGGGACATCAAGCTTCCTCTATTTGTCCTCAGCCAACATCTCATAAGCAAAAGCAACAGAGAATTTACCAGTCTTCCTATACTTCCAACCAAGCAAGTCCTTGCAATGAGGTTCAGCCCTTTCGTGTTTATAATAGCTCGACTCTCCTCTGTAAAAAAAATAGTTCTAAACCAAAGCCACATTCCAATTCCTTCCTGAAGCATCAATGAGTTCATGGACGCAGGTGAGCTCATTCGTCGAGAAGTTGAGAGGAAGGTTTGTAGCCCTTTTCATGTTCCTCTACTAAAATCATCAACAATAGTATGCATAAATGAGGTGTTTGTCATAGATTCTTCATGATTGGGCCCCCACACATAAAATGAGTAAACTCAAAACATTTCTTGCTTTGTATGTGATTGAGAGGAAATGGTAGCCTACACTGCTCAGATCTGTGATACACATCACAAACATATGTCTCGCGTTTTGCAGTTCTGCATTCATTCTTGAAAAAGTGTATATGATGCAAATAGTGAATAGAACTATGTCCTAATCTATTGTGCCACAATTCAAGTTCCTTTCCCACATAAGTTTCCCTCAATGGCATTTTCATAACCTAAGCCTCCTACACATAGAAACCCCCAATAGCCTTACCCTAAGCAATGATTGTATTATCCTTGAGTTTGAGTTTCCACTCCTTATCTGTAAAGAAAAAACATAAGGCATTGTGTTCAACTAACTATCCTGCAAACAACAAGTTATACTTGAATTCATGTATCAATAATATATTTCTTAGGACAATCTCCTCATTCAAACGAATGTCACCAGTTTGTGTTACCTTTATTTTTGAGCCATCTAGAAGATTAACAATTAACAATAATAAGAATAGAGACAACATGTCTCTTGCAGATAATGAATCCCAACTTCGATTTCGCACCCAGAGCTAACTTCATTGCTCTACTCCAGGGCAAATAATTTCCTCTGGTAAGTGGAATGGTGACAAGCACCATGCCTGGGTGATCCCATCCATGGGGAGAGAGTGAATCTGTATCTCTTCCATAGCTTGTTTGTTTTGCGCCATGTTTGCAACTAACTTGCTCAAGATACCATGTAGAACTCAACACTTTCAAGTAAATCACAAGAAAAAGAAGTTTAATATCGAGAATTTTTCATCGCCATTGATAAGTTGAGCTCAAAGCTCGTACATAATTAGTTGCAGGCCCTCAGGCCACCATTCACGTTTTGTTTGCATGCTAAGCCATAATAACCAGTAAGGCTGCGACACGTGGTTCGAATTTAACAAACAACCAACAAGACGAAAATAAGAGAAAATGTAGGTGCGTCTTTATAAGTGACCCATGCCTTTTACATAACAAAAAAAGGA